ACATTTAAAAATATGCTGAGAGGTTACACAGGCTTTTAATAATGTATTTTGTTTACTTTTTTATATTTTTAAATTTTTAGTTTTAGGTTATCACAGGGTATCCACGGATGCCACAAGTCTCTTGTTCGTTTTTGTGATATCCTGCTCTCTTGAGTAAATAAAATCTTATCTATCTTATCTTACCTTTTTTTCAAGCCTTTATTGCTGGGCAGTTAGCTGTTTCAAATATCATCAAATTTTTTTGGGGACTTTATCAAACAATATTTCCAAAAATTGGACCTCTACTTCCATTGAGTCAAATACATGATTTTCTAATTCAGGAAAACTAACGTGTACCTTTTAGGACATATTTTCTAAGAGATACTCTCAAGAATGAGAAAATAATGGATGATCAGTAAAATAATTGACCACCAACTAGATAGTACAATAAACAACTGCTGGTAAAATAAAGAAGAAAATGAATCAAGGCAAAATATTCAATAGGAATAATTAACATCTTAGTTGGTATATTTATGAAAATGAATTGTAAAATTACAAAGTATAATGAGAATGACAGAACATGATAATAATCTGAAACAAAAAGGTAAATCGGATACTGTTGATTACATATTCAATAACAAGAATCATGTTGTTCAATTTGCTCACCCAAAAAAATTATGGTTAGAAATTAATCGGAACAAAAATGAAATTAAATAAACAATAACAACATATAATAAGTTAGCTTATCAGTTCTAATACGTTTTAGAATTTCTTCTGTTTCAGTTAAAAAAACATCCCGATGATAAAATTCTGCCTTTTTTTATAACCTGTCTTTTTTATATACTCAAATTTCTTCTTATCTACTATAATTTTTTCAATAGAACACAACATGTAATGGGATGTTTCCCGATTTGTTATTAATAAACGAAAGTTTAGATTAATGCCTATAAAGTAATACACTTACCGTCACATATCTCACGCCAATCCAAACAGAAATTGACGCTATGATTACACTTCATATTTGTATAACAAGCAGCTTCGTATGAATGTTTGCCAAATCTTGTTTTAATAATATCATTAAATGAACTTGAATTACTATTAAATGTAAACTGGCATAATGTTCCAAACCACGGTTTTGTACAATTATACACGAACAGTGGAGTCATATGTATTAGATTGAATTCAAGATAAATTTCGTATTTATCAATTAAGTCTATTGGTATGAACCAATCTAGTAAATCTTTTCCAGTTATATTCAAGCGACGTAATTCCTCAAAGGTATATTGTACACCACGAATAATTTGTTGATCTTTATCATCTTCAACGATCAAAAGTTCGTTTGATCGAATACAAAATGGTATTAATTGAATCAGTTTATTTTCCAAGATAGAATTGATTTTTATAAAAGGTCTTCCATAGAAATACAGACAATTGTTATGTTGCTGAAATTCAGAATCAGTATGATATAAAATAAAACATAAATTAAGTACAATAATTGAAAGAAATAAAAACGACGTTAGTAGCAGCGGGATCGAATACATTTACAGTTAATTTTGTACAAAATGACAATTACGCCTTGTAATTACCCAAACCTTCGGTTACCCTTGATTTCTTTAACAAAAATGACGATTTTCGTTGACAATACAATCGGCATTTTCTCAACATAAATCATGTTTATCGTCTTGGAAAAATATTTTCATAAACTATTCAAAAACACCTTCACATCGACCTTACAGTTTCCTTTTAATTAAAACAACAGGAAATATTTTATTTTTTGAAAACAACCAGGATAATATTTTCTTTTATTGCTTCATTTAACATGTTTTTTCATCTTTTTAAAATAATTACTATATGCCAACATGATAAATTAGATATTTAGTAGTGTTTCATTGTGTAATAAAAAAATAAATGAACAATATTTAAATAAATATTTAATAAGGTGTATTGCATAAGAAGCGAACTGAGAGACAACTGAATCGATTTCAGTGAAATATATTATTAAGGATTTTCAACTATGCTCTTCTAATGACCGATTGAAAAATTCGAAATACTTCGAAGTAAGATGTCTAGAGGGTTTTGGTTTTGCAAGCTCAACGATGAAATAAGAAATTAAGATTGTCAGAAAAATGTTTTTATTGATTAAATTTACTACAGAAACTTTTGAGCCATGCGTCGGAAAAAAATAATTTTCAAAACAAAACATCAACTATATATATATATATATATATATATATTAGCTTAGAATACTGTAATGGAATATTTTTCCGCTTGTATTCTGAAAGAATAAAGCTTAAACCAAAAAAATATACTATCTAGATTGTTTAATCAAAATTTGAAACTGTAAAAATGAATTTGACAAGATTCTTTTATATATTGTAAAGATAAACAGTGTAGTTATTACATAAGATATTTTAGCTATAACGCTGTTTATATAGCTTCTATTAATTATCCTCAATGATAGATATACAGCATAGTGTACTCTATGTACAGTACACTATGGTTATCCTCAAAGTGAATAACAGTGATCGATATTCCATTTGTGGGTAAATCAATGAGTAAAAGAGTAAAATTGAGTAAAAGACTGATTCGTCTCGCTAAACAGATGCGGTCACAGACACACCTTCAGCCGATATTTTGTCCACCGAGGTTTATTAGGCAATGTTTTTCAAGGAAAGATCCTGAGCCAAAGGATCTCCAGTCTCGTATAATCTACATAATTCAATGTTGTGATACTGAGGCCCGGACGTTGGTAAAACTAGGTTATATAGTTATAGTTAGGGTTATTACTTAAAGCCTCCCCTCCCCGTCCCCCTCAAAATACGATCTCGACACCGTTACATAACCATGAACTGAAACTTTGCGGACACGTTGGAGGTACCTAGCCATATACAGAAAAAAATTTCACCTCCATTCGTCATGACCTGGAAGAGTTATAATAACTTTAATATCCATTTTTCTCATTTTTTGCCTTTCGTCGCCTCCAAACCATTTCTACGGGTGAAGAGATAGAGTCAATTTGATCTTCTTGTTTGGTAGGAGGCATTTGGGCCTAGTGCCGTACGATCGCCTTATTTTCATTTTCTTTATTACTGTTTTAGACATGCATCAAGTCAAAACGCTCCTTAAAACTGTAAAATTACATGAAAAAACACTAAAATTTTGACAATAAAAGTATTATTCTCATTCAACAAAGGTATTATTATTATTCAGATATTAAAAGTGAAGTTTAAATTGCTAAGAAAATTATCCATACATCGTTTTCGTTTCTCATGCGAACAGTATGTGACTTCTCGAATTCTGACTATATGGCGTGATCATCGAGGAATCAGAACAAAGAAAACGAATAAATACATTCTGGAAAGCTTTTTCACCTAAGACATCCTTCAGAAAAATGGGAAATGTGTTGTTCAAGTTTATTACCACTAGTTATGGCGTCATTCAATTAAATTTGATGGATAGTTGACGTCATTTAGAAACCAACTACTGCTCACTCAATCAAACAGTAAGAGAATTGACAAAAATAAAAAAAGTAATTGAACAAATAATACTCAATCAAATTTTACACGTTCATTAAAAAGACACAGGTCAAAAAGTTTATGCATATTTCGATAAAGCTAAGCAAGAGATATTAAACAAAGAAGGTAATACAACCTAACTGTCAAGCTTTAAGAAAATGTTCATGTATCAGAAATTCATTGAATAAATAGATTATAACTGAAGTAATTGCGAATGCTGCCTCTTTCAATATCCTTCCCAAAATATCGGAAACATGAGCTTTATAATGACAAGAAATAATAAAATAATGATTAATGGTTCATAATTCCTAGTTATGTTAGTATTAGAAATTATCGAAAGCTGCAGTGAACAGTATTCATTTATTCATTTCTCACTCTTGTGAATCCATATTTTGAAATACAAGGTTGTTCAGTGAGTACATTCAGCAATAGTCAAGCAGTTAGTGAACGACAGTCTAATTTATTAGGAAAAAGTCTGATCGTGAAATGCAAGGTGAAGAAGAATAGTTCTAAAAAAACCAAGTGAGAATAAAAGAACGCAAAGAAGAGAATTAACATGTATATACACTCTTTTCAAGTGACGTGTGTAAGAGAAAAGAAAAAAGATCAGAAACTATATGACGTAATTCAGAAAAAAATTATGTATGTGACGAATTGCGCATATGGAATACATCTCGCTAATAAAAATATCGTATTTTCGTTCGTGTGCATTGTACACTCCTCGATTGTGTTCCTTTTTCATCACGCTAAAAAGATGTCAAGCAACGATTCTGACAGTGCTAGCGGAATTGAAAGTAACGATCGATTGGTACCATCCACTTCATCTTTGTCCAATACTGATGCTGATACTAATACTGATACAGCTGATGAAATTGATATAAGTAAATGGACAATTTTTCCAACGGCGAAGAGAGATCCTTTTCGTTTTTCTGGAAATCGTGAAGCACAAGCTTATGGAGCACAGATTCTCATAAAATTCTGGAATTATATTTTCCCTAGAAATATGGTACAAAAAATCGTCTATGAAACAAATCGTTACGCTGAAACTATGTGTAATACTTCGAATCCTCGTCAACAGTATTCACGTATAAACAAATGGCAGCCAACGAGTATCGAAGAATTTAATATTTTTCTTGCTATACTGATATTGCAAGGAATAATTCGCAAGCCAGAACTTCAGATGTATTTCACAACTGATGAACTTTTAGCTACACCTATTTTCAGCAAAATACTAACTGCTGATCTATTCCTGATGTTACTCAAGATGTTACATTTTGAAACGGATGAAGGTTCTGATGCCAAATTGAAAAAGATTTGGGCAGTTATCGAAGGTCTAGGTTCATCATTCAAAGATTATATAAACCCGGAAGATTCTTATGCGTTGACGAAAGTTTGCATTTGTACAAGGGTCGTTTATCGTGGAAACAGTTTATTCCTTCCAAAAGAGCACGATTTGGATTCAAGTTCTATATGATATGTGATACAAATGGTTATGTTCTTAACTTTATCATTTATACTGGTCGTGATACTAATTCCAAGAAAAAATTCTCTAATTTATCTTTATCAAGTCGAATAGTAATGACACTGGTGGAAGATTACTTAGACTTTGGACATTGCATTGTGATGGATAATTATTATTCTTCGCCAAAACTCTTTATCGAACTGGTAAAACGAAAGACAGATGCAGTTGGGACCGTTCGATTCAACCGCAGAGGTCTTCCGATTGATTTTCGACGTACTAAACTTGAAAAGAAAGAAAGAATCGTTCGATATTATAAAAAGTAATGGCTCTGAAATGGTTGGATAAGAAATATGTTAATATACTCTCAACATACCACAAAGATGACATCACGATTATTCATAAGAGAGGTACACAAATTGAAAAACCAACATTGCTTGCACGAGTACAATGTTACTAGGGGTGGGATCGATCTGATCGATCAACAAATGGCTCCTTACTGCCTTCCTCGAAAGAGAATGAAAAAATATTACAAAAATATAATTTTATTGGATTTAGCTATACTGAATTCTTATCATTTATATAAAATATAGACTCGTCAGACAAACGATAACATGATGACACAACTTCAATTGAATGCTGACATTCGCATTGATGACTAATATTAATATTAATTAGTACACAGTTGATAGAAAAAAATGAATAGAATGCTAGAAAATAAACGGGACGAAACGAGAAGATACCATTCAAAGCTGAAGAAATTTAGAATAGTGTGACATCTCTGCTTTGCTATACATCTTTTTTTCACAGTAGCGTGATCATTCTAATGATTTTAATGTCTTATTGATGGAAAAAAATAGAATATTCCTGACATAAAAAAGATCTTTTCAACTATCTATGAATAGTTTGATTTTGTACATATGAAAATCCGTGTTAAAGTCAAAATATTAAGGTATACGTTTTCTAGAAGTTTATTGAACACGAGAAAATTTTTTATAACTTTATAAGAAAAAAGTACTTAACTTTTCAAAAAAAATAAAATACAGACAACTACCCCTACGGTCATCCTGACAGACATTGATGAGAAAAGATTGCTGGATACCGCAAGATAGACATGGAGAACAAAATCCTTTTTCTTTCAACCAACAGAATTCTGTCAGATCTCGTAGGAAAAAACTTATGGATTGAATAAGTCAAAAAGTCTTGCGATGTTTCTTACCTTTACGCAGGATTTTTTCCGTGCTGACCCTACATAAACTACGCAGGATTCTGTCAGGGCTGGCAGTTTAAAAATCCTGCGTAAAGGTAAGAAACATCGCCAGATATTTTAATACTGATGACCCGCGGAATCCTGCGCAAAGTCCTGCCGGATCCTGCATGAATTTTGATTATTTTTTCCAGTGGGCAGTAGCAATTTGTAGTCGTTATTCCAGAAAAGAAGGTTTCTTTCACGTGAAAAATATTTTAGTAGCATTGTGGTATATTCCTCTTTTGCGAGTGCCATATCTTCATTGAACTGTTCCGTATGGTCGCCAACCTATAAACGTGACTGGTATCTTGAACTCACGTTTATCTTCGATTCACTTGATCCCTCGACTGTATGACAATTTTAACTCTTTAACTTTTACATTACATAGCTTCTTTTAAGTGCGTCATTCCCTCTAGTGTAAACTGTGGATTGGCAAATAAAAAATATGTACACTGTCAAACAACTAGCTCGTATCTACAACATTTCGAGAAACAAGTTCAGAATAGGCATGTTGCATGAAAAAACCAACTGGAGAAATATTTCACGAAATTTAATGAATCTCGGTACATAAGACTTTTAAAAGACGCTCTTTCTTTTGGCTCATTCAGATTTTCTTCAAAATGTGTGAAAATAGAGTACCTAGAAAACCGTGACTTTCAGAATACTCGGACACAGAAAAAGTTTTTTTTGACCTCCGGATTCGAAAGATCTTTAAAACCACCATCGTATTCAGAACAGAATGGCAACATTTTCAAAGAAAGTTTCAGTCTTCAGCATAAAGCTGAAAGCTTAAATTGAAATTTTACTTGTTAAAAATTCAACTTTTTTCAAAATGTGAATAACACGGCACAAATAGATGCTATAAACTTTCTAAACATGTCATTCGATAGAGAATCAAAAGCTGAAGAAACGTAGAAGTTTGACAACGTTCCGGTATCACGGAATTCTGGTTTTCTATGGAGTTTTTTAACTCAGCGGAATTCTGCCCATAATGCTCAATTTTCTCAACAGAGCTCAACTTCTATGTGATAAAAAAATATCATATTCTGAATCGGGATCAGAAGACGAATAGACGGATGTGTATCTCGATCCTATCCAGATACTTAACGTTTTTCGAATTTTCACGTTGAAAAATCATCGAGATTTTCTCCAAAAAATGAAAATACACTAAAAATGTAGAAATACACGTCAGTCGATTCGTCTTCTGATCCCGATTCCGAATATGATATTTTTTTATACATAGAAGGTGAGTTCTGTTGAAGAAAATTGAGAATTACTGACAGAATTCCGACTTTTTCGAAATTTTGAAAACAGTGGAATTTTTAAAAAGTAAAATCTCAGTTTAAGTTTTCAGCTTTATGCTGGATCCCCAAACTTTTTTGAAAGTGTAGCCATTCTGTTCTGAATACGATGGTGGTTTTAAAGATCTTTCGAATCCGGAGGATTTGTCAAAAAAATACTTTTCCTGTGTCCTAGTATTCCGAAAGCCACGGTTTTCTAAGCATTCTATTTCCACACATTTTGAAGAAGATCTGAATGAGCCAAAAGAAAGAGCGTCTTTTAAAAGCCTTATGCGCCGAGATTCATTAAATTTGGTCCAAATGACATGATGTTAAGCTAGACCAACTTTCTCATGCAACACCCCAGTTACATCTCCTTTTTCTCCTCAGCTGATGCATCTGGCTTCTGCGAGCATTTTTCTCTCGATTGACCTTAATTAGATATCACAGACTGGTAGAAACCCAAAAATTCTAACGAAACCTCCTGGAACTCGTTTCATAATATCCGTCATACAGAATCACCTTTAATCCCACCATTTCAGTATATCAAAGTCTCTCTATTCTGCGTTATTGTCGTGTCTTCTACGTGGACATTCAGACAAATGGTTACTGAACCCCTTGACTATATAGGGCTAAAGTCATTTACTTTTTAGATAATTTTTGCTCGAGTATTGTTGCAGATCAAGTGCTTGAAAACAAACACTGCCATCAGGTCCATCCTGTGAAATTTACTATACTCCCAACGTTTCAGTTCCCTAAACCCCTTTAGATCAAATTTAAACTTTCCTTTTATTTTATTTTTGGACAGACAAATATGTCATAATACAGATACAGAATGTATCCACTGCATATAAAGGTATGAGAATAAGAATATGGACAATATGTGTAGTCTCCGGAATCCCATAGATAGATAATATGGACAAGTACATACAACCGTATTCACGATTCTGAGCGAGCCAATAACACAACTTTTTGATCAGCACATTTCGTTACTCTCTGGATACTATGCTAAACCTGTGACACACACGCCTCTTATTATAATGATGAAGTAGTTAACTGAATATTTCCTAATATTTACATTATGAATGATGAAAAGAGGAAGCCAGTTGCAGGAAAAAGAAACTGTAAAATGAAATATACAAGAGTCTGCGCTGAATACAGCTACAGTTCTAGCAATATATTTGTACTCTGAATATGAGAAGTTTTCTATTTGATTTCATCGTCCATAATATCAATATTAAAATCGATACAATTAGCTACTGTATGATTATGAATAATTTTAATATATTTACATTATGAACGATGAAATCAAATAGAAAATGTTCATATTCAGAGTACAAATATATTGTTAGAATTGTAGCT